CAGCACTGATGGAAAAACTGTGGTTGTGAGAAATTTTTCAAGTCCCATGTCACGTCAGATTCTCATTTTGCAGGTGCATTTGCATAAATTTTGCAAATGCAACATTGTTGTAGGTGGTACAGTCACACCAAAAGTGCACTGCGTCATACAGGAGCAGCATTCTGGTAATTATCATCATTACTATTACTATTATTTGCAGTATTATTATTTCTGTCAAAACACAACTGGAAGCATAGACAAATGAAAATTTAATAATCATGAGAATTCTTAAAGAATGAGAATATTTTTACCTCTTTCATTAACAGCTCCTCTGCTTCCCCTCTGGTTATATTTTTGTTGTACCATCTGTAAGGCAACAAATGAACCACAGTTAGACACAGTTCTGAACAGGACAAATGAATGGATGTTCAGGCATGCAAATGTTAAGAGGCAGAGAGAGAAATGAATTCAAACTCACACAAATCTCTCAAAGTTTTTGCCAGATTTCTCAGCTACGTAAATACTGGGCACAAAGCCTGTGTTCCTGATGAGAGATCAGAGAAAATACACATTAACCAGTCATCCTTACTCTAAAATACTTTTTTTCTATGCTATTTTTAGTAAGCAAGAACTAGGAGTGGATGGCAATCTTAATCTGCCTAACCCCTGGTCATCCTCTATGATCCACCAGTCAGGACGAGAGCTGTTAATCAAGACATATTCCTGGTCTTTCTGAAGAGGCAAGTCGTCGTCTCCCAGCGGCTTATGATCTTGCAGAGCGATGACCATCCTCTGCCCCAATTCCTGCACTTCCCTCTGACAGAGATTAAGAAGAAAAATGTCACCTAAAATGATATTTCTTAACTCTGTATAAATCCACTGGACAAATATAGATACAATTCCGTGTTAACAGGTGAAAATAAGCAAGCCTGGACCTAAAAATATATTTTTACATTTTCTTCCAAAAGCACACAGATTAAAATAGAATATTAAACATATTTTGTTGTACAACAAGCTAGCAATTGTCAGCTGTAGAAGACACCTAACAATCAGCAATTCTGAGATATCTGTACTATATTTTGTGCTATTTCATACTTTTTCTCCATTACATTTTATAGGCAAATATTGTATTTTTTACTCCTATATTTATTTTATAACTTTAGTTACTAGTAAATTTTCTGAATCAGATTAATAAAATATAATACCCTATGATTATAAGACTTTATTGTTCCCTGGTGGAAAATTCATAAGCTACCCAGCAGCAATTCAAATTATAAGCATATAGATTAATTAAAATGTCCTCCCCCTTTTACCAGCTGCTATATTGAAGTGATTAATACAATAATGCGTCAATAATAATATTCCAGTAATACGATATATATTAATGTCATATGTGCTGTTCTGCATAAAGAGTACTTTTAGCATTTTAAGTATTTTTTTGATGCCAATACTTTTGTACTTTTACTCGCGTAACATTTTGAATGTAGGACTTTTACTTATAACAAAGTGTTTTTATTAACTATGGTGAACAAATTAACTGTATAAAATGATGCATAACTTCCTATTCATAACAAATGAACAAATGAACAAACATGAACATAAAAGTAAACAAAAATAAACAGAAATAAACAACCAACATGAGGTGACTCTGTTCTCCTTGTAAGGTAACTGTCAGGTCCGCTCGGCACGACCTGCCCCTCTTCCGCCTCTCTCTCCTCTGTTCTCTTGACCTGCGGGATCTCGCACCTCAGCTGTGTTGCAATCGGTAATTAGTGACTCATTTGTCGGTGCACACAGCTGGGGTGTGCAGTCACGTGTGCACGCCCCGGCAGCCCAACGCAGTCCTGTCTCCTTCCTCTGCAGTTCCTGTCTACGGGTGGGTCGGCCGGCACACCGCCTCACCTCCGACATTCTGTTTCCGAGGGGGTTGGCGACGATGACTTCGCTCTCCCTCTGCTCCCAGCCTTCGAGGGGGTCAGCGACGACGACTCCGCTCTCCTGCTTTCAGTCCCCGAGTGGGTCGCTGACGATTAAAGGGTCTGAGTACTTCTTCCACCACCAATAACATATGAAAATGATATGAGCAACACAAGATTTAAAAAAAAGCAATATGTCATTTGGGGGGTTTTATAAAATGTCATCCAAAATGCAAAACTGTATTGAACGCAAAGACAAATTATAGCTCAACAAGCAACCGAATATCCAAAAGGCTATTTGAACATGTAATGTAGCAATAATATTTCAACAGCAGCATGTGTTATTTATGCTGTAGAAAGTTGTACCTCTGGATCCGGGAGCTGAGGGAGTGGTTTTTTAGAAGCTGTGGAGGAATCAAAAATATGAAATGTTTCCAAATGCAATGCACTAAAAGACAACTGCTAAGTTATGCAAAGCAACTGCATTTAGATCAATATCAAGATTTGCCCTACCCACAATCACACTTCTTTAGATTTTTATGTTTTTTTCCTACTATTCACGTACATTTGGATGAAACAGTGTCGGGCTAAATCAAATAGAGTTAAGCCCTCTATGAAAATATAAATTAATAATATGATACAAACCATAACACACAGGGTCATATATATGACAACCTGCTGCCAGTTTCTCTGTTTGTTGGCAACATCTCCATTTCCCATCCATCCAGAAGTTTGTGTGGTATTTTGTAACCAAATTGTTATTCTTTGTCTCTACAGCACATAAAAGAAAAGACAGAGAGATTGAAATATTAAACCTATACATTTCTTATGTACAATCAAGTGTTCACAATACTTTGTTGGCCAAATATCATTGCTTAACCTGCAGTCTTCTAAAGTTTCTTACCCTCTTTGAGAGCTCTGACCCATCTCTGACGCGTATCATTGTCTGGGGCAAAAATGTAAAGGTAATGACTGTCATGAAAGATCTGTGGAGAGATTTGCATTTTAGAACATGCATGTTTTGTGTTAAAACTTAATTATATGTGATATTTGCAGAATGCAACATTACATTTTATGAGTGTGTATTCTTTGAGCAACTGTGAATGTCACCTGAAAAGGGTACTTATAGCTGCATGGTATGGGGCTATCACTACACACCATCTCCACACATTTAATTCTGGACAGCTCGATGCAGCCTTTCAACATGGGCTTTTTCTGAAAGAACATGATCTTACTTTATGTTTCTTCTACGCAATATGGAAATGCTTCAAATTACATAGGTTGCTCCCTGGTTTGCAAATTTCCAGACTAAATCTTCTGTTCAGTGGCATCATAAAAGTGTGCATACTTACCCCCGGACGGCGCTCAGAATACTTCAGGTCTTGGGTGTCCAACACAAAAAATCTCTCCTTGTAGTTACTAGGTGATGTTCTTTTCTTTTGCTGTGATTTTTTGATCATAGTTCCCTTTAAAATCACCCTGGGGAACATGGTAACAGCTATGAGCAAGACAATGAGAGACACTGGAGGGTTTTGGCTTACAGAGAGAGACTGTCTACCTGGCAAGCGACAGAAAAAAGTAGTGGATGATCACTTGATAAACGCTGTGGAGCTTCCGGCATAGCGCTGTTGCATCTTGTAAACCACATCCTTACGGCAAAAAAAAAAAAGAGTTGTGCAAGCAAACAAACACCACTGCACACACACAAGCACACACACTGTATCCACTCACATACTTTCACTGACTATGTTGCAATGAGCGAGAGTATGGAGCAGTGGAGGAGGGTGATTCTTTAATCTCAGTGCTTTTGAACATTTTCCACCAAGTATTAAGTAATGACTGTATCCTGGTGTGATGACATCAACAAGGGTGCTTATTTAACAGAAACACTGATAGAATTAAGCCACATTTCACCGTATTAAAACAGCACATGTTGAACACTTCAGAATCAGAATCAGCTTTACCGGCCAGGTGTGTTGGACACATGAGGAATTTGACTCTGGTACAGTGGCTCTCAATGTGTATGTACAATGCTCTTCCATAAGGCAACGAGTAGACAAGTAAGCAAGATAAGCCTGAGAGAACAAAAAAAGGACAAGGAATGTGCATTAGGGAAATAAAAATAAAGTACTTATAAATCTAGAAATGTATACATACAGTTTAGATGCAGCTTTTCAGATAGAGATATACAATAGTATATTTACAGGTATTGCACTGAGGGTTATTGTTCTGTTATACGGTCGTGGGTTAACTGTTCTTCAGAGCGAGCAGGGGAAGAAACTGTTCTTGTGTCTGGTTGTCTTGGCGCACAGTGACATGTAGCACTGTCCAGAGGGGTGGAGTTCAAACTGTTTATGTCCAGGGTGTGAGGGGTCTACAGAAATCTTCTCTGACCCATGAGGTGTACAGGTCCTCCATGGAGGGCAGGCTGGCACCGAAGATTCTTTCTGCAGTCCTGACTGTCCGCTGGAGCCTGTTCCTGTCCTGTTTGGTTGCTGAACCAAACCAGACAGTGACAGAATTGCAGAGAACAAACTTGATGATTCCTCTGTAGAACTGTATCAGCAGCTCCTGGGGCAGGTTAAACTTAGTTCTGATATTGGCTAGATGTGGTTTTCCCCAGCCTCACCTGCTGCTTCCTGTCTGTCAGAAAGCTGGTGATCCACTGAGGTGTAGCACAGTGAGCTGGGTCAGTTTACAGTGGAGGATGTCCGGATGATGATGGTATTGAATGCCGAACTGAAGTCCACCAAGAGGACCTGTGCATAGGTCCCTGGGGAGTTGAAGTGTTGCAGTGCCATGTTGACTGTATCATCCATTGACCTGTTCACCTGGTAGGCAAACTGCTGGGGGTCCAGTAAGGAGTCTGGAAGTGTTTTCAGGTGAGCCAACACCAGACTCTCATAGGACTTCATAACTACAGATGTCGGGGTTTCTTTGGGACCGGGATGATGGTGGAGCGTTTGAAGCAGGACGGGACTTCACACACATTTATATTTCTTTAACACTTAACATTATTGCTGTGTGTATTAAAAATGTTTCAACTAATGTCTTTTCAGCATTTTTGCTGCCATAATGAAGGATGTGTTTTTCCTGCATCATCATTTACCTTGTGGTTTGTTTGATTAATCCTCACTGTCCTTATTTCTGACTTTGAATTTATACTTGTGAGATGGTTTCAGCTTCTTCTCTGCTATAAATGCTCTTCTTCCGTTCTTTTTCTATTAACTACAATTATTATAGCTTCAATAGAGTTGGGCTCCAGTAACCATAAAGGGAAACAAGGTGATTATAAAATTTTGGAACTTGTTCAGAAATAATGAATTTGAAGAGAGTGTGAATTCAAGACTAAAACAATTCATCCTCCAAAGACATGAAAGGTTAATAAATGCTATAGCACCACCAAGAGGAAAAGTGCTGCTACATTTTAGATTGTATTGAAAATTTCGAACGTGATTCCTATTTGGTTCATTTCTGAACAAGTTCCTCACAGTAAGGCACTTTTTGGTCAAAAGCAATAGGTGGAAAGTAAAAATGCCAAAATCAGGGCCAAGGGACATAGAATTAAAACAAACACATGCACACAAATACCTGCATGAATATACAAAATGCATAATGCTTATCTCACTTAGTTATGGTATTATGAAATTAGTACAAAATTCTGATTATTTTACCAAATTTTCAAAAGCTTCAAGACCCTTTATGGAACAGCCTGTCCTGTCTGCTCTTAAGAAATGTAACTAAATGAATTTTGTTCTATCTGGGCATCTGAGCATTTAAAAAAAAAGATAAAAGATGGTGATCTGGTATGCACGGGTATGTGTGTGTGATACTGATATTCAAAGAAAGCAATGCAAACATAACATAAAAAGATAAATACCAAAAACAAGTAAGGGCATGATGTACTTTATGTGGTGACAAAACTGACTAAAGACCTCATAGTGTAGTGTATACTGTTATATTATATTACAACACTTTCTTTCTTTCTTTACTATACATATATATATATTATTTGCTCAGGTTGAGCTGTGGCTGGCCCAACCTCCTTGTAATGGACTGGACTACATTATAGAGGTGTCTCTACATTTTTGTCCTCCCCAGCTACATATATGAGAAGGTCAGAATATTAGGGATACCTCTGAATATAATGTTGTCCAGTACAACACCACCTTTAACTATGACCTCAACAATAATCATATAATTGAATGTATACATTTATGACAATTTCACCAAAAAATGAAACATTTTAAGCTCGCAGATGTTAAGGCAGAAATATTGCACTGAATTGCATATAGTTTTACAGGCGTACCTAATAAAGAGGTGAGTGTATATTAGGCTGTATAAGCTTACCGTTGTTAAGCTATCTAAGCTACCCCATGAGCTATATCAATCGGGCCTATTGCAAAAATCATAGATATGATTGATATCGTCAATAAAACCATTAAACAACTTGACCAATCAGCGTTTAGTTTGTTCGCAGTGGCGGACCAATCCACGAGACAAAAAATGGTCACGAGGCAGAATTTCGCCAATGGCATTGGGACGGAAATGAGCATTCATATCAGCGTATGGAAGGAGCTAAGCTGGACATGAGCTAATTTTCCAGTTATATATCTCTGCTAGCTACGTTTCACGTTTGAGATCTAGGTTCAGCAACAGAAGAGTCATTTAGGAGGTGGGGAGAAATACAATCATCATCATCATCATCTGCCTGTGTTAGTTTGCTTCAGGTTTGATATACCGACGTAACTAGTTAGCAGAGATTGGCTAACACTTTTTCTATCAGTTAGTCACACAGCTAGCTAGGTGACTAAAGCTAAAGCTCTGGCAGAGTCTTCATCTGACTGTACACCGAAAACCTAATGTATTCAATAACGTTAGTAAAGGTTTTAAACCACAAATGATACTATCTGCTCGTTGGTTTTCCAGGTAGACAAACTCGCGTCGTTCGCTTGTCAGATTAACCTTCACTCGTGCGCTAACTTAGCACTATGTATGATTTTATAAAAAAATAAAATAAAATAAACATTTGCCACCTGTTCTTGTTTTGCATTAAGTAAAACACACCTGTTGTTACTGTTTCAGGCCAGCATCATGGGTGAACCACAGCAGGTTAGTGCCCTGCCGCCTCCACCTATGCAGTACATCAAAGAGTATACAGATGAAAATATCCGCAAGGGTCTGGCTCCCAAGCCACCTCCACCCATCAGAGACAGCTACATGATGTTTGGCAACCAGTTCCAGTGCGATGACCTCATTATTCGGCCCCTGGAGAGCCAAGGCATTGAGAGGCTCCATCCTATGCAGTTTGACCACAAACGGGAGCTGAAGAAGCTCAACATGTCCATTCTCGTGAACTTTCTGGACTTGCTGGACATCCTTATCAAGAGCCCTGGCAGTATAAAGCGTGAAGAGAAGCTGGAGGACTTAAAGCTTCTGTTTGTTCACATGCATCACCTGATAAATGAGTACAGGCCACACCAAGCCCGGGAGACACTGAGGGTGATGATGGAGGTGCAGAAGAGACAGAGACTAGAGACAGCTGAGAGGTTCCAGAAACATCTGGAGAGGGTGGTGGATATGATTCAGGGATGCCTTGCCTCCCTACCAGATGATTTACCACAGATGGAAGGTTCAGACAGTGTTGGTGATGGAACAAGGAGTGTGTCTGCAGCAGCAGCTGCTGTTGTTTGTTCGTCTGGACAAGCCCCCAGGCTGAAACCTGAACCTATGGATGTAGAGGAAGCAGGTACCAGCTGTATGGCAGTAGGTCTCCAGGACAAGAGCAGCCCTACTTCAAAGAAGGAAAAAATATGGGACAAAGATGCTGCTATGTGCAGTATTATTGATGAAATTGCATAACTTTTATGTTAAATAGTCTTGTTTCCTTTTTTTTTGTTCACCTAAACTGGATTTATTTTGGGGATGCTGTACTTAATGTAAGTTTGCTCTGTTTTCACTAGGCCTGAAAGTCCATCTAGACTTCAATGGTGTTTTGCTTAAAAGCCATTCTGTAGATATTAGTTTTTGTGAAGATAGTCAGAGAAGTATTACACAGATAAATTGGGGTGCTAACTTTCAGTTTTTGTAATAAAAACTAATTAAACATTTTTTTCCAGTTGTGTAGGAGTGTGATGCTGTCACACTGGCATAGTTCAGTCTGCCAGTGTTTGTAGGGAAGCTGTATCAAATCACTGGATTATTTGTGCTTGAATCCATTGGAATTGTTTTATGTTTGCAAAGCATTAAAGTCCTGTAGCTGTGACTTGCACACTATAGTAAGAATTGTTGTGGAAAGCTCACTGTGTATAGACTGTGGTTATATAGCCACTCCACATGTAGGTTTTCATGAAAGCACTTAACAATATAGTCCTTATTTTGTTGCATTGTCTGGGTTTCTTCTAACACATGACTGGCAGAAAGAAATGTAACGCAGTCTGTCTGTCTAGTTTTTGCAGGTTTGTTTAATTACAGAAATTTAACCATACATATCCTACCAGTCAGAAGGTTTGGACACACTTACCTAATCAGTTTAATGGAAAAGTGGGTCCAGACTTTTGACAGGTCGTGTAGATATCACCAGAATCCTTATTACTTGATTGTAACACATAACCAAATCCTTAGGGTGAATTTGAATATTTGAAATGCAGTACTGCTTCTTATGCAGTACTGGGTAGTTTCACATAGGTGTGTGTAAAAATCGGAGTGTGAGGCCAAGTCTTTGTTTTATAGTCTTCATTACAACAAATGGGGTTAGTGAGTTTATTCCATTGCTGAATCATTGGTGAAGACTATGCTATATAATGCATGGCTTTCCATCCCAGAGGTCTGTGTTTGTCCCTTTGGAACAGCAGCCTATAATAATGAAACGTTTGTGTCCCTGAATGGCCTCTGTGAGATACAAGTGCCACGTAACACATCGCACTTGTATAAGAGGTGTACAGAGGTTTTATAATAACCCTGATCTGCTTTGCAGCATTGACTTGCCTTGCCTGATTTTCATGAACAGTAGCAGAAATACTTCCTCGTTCAGTTTGCACCTGCACGTCAGCTATTTTTAGCATTACATCATGTATGTGTGCACGTGGCTTATTTGGGTGTTTGACCACGATGAAGTGTGTTCGTGATTCAGACCCCGAATCCCGTTTGGCTTATGTTGGGATTCCCTACATTGTTGGTCGATAATTTGGTAATATTTTATTTCCTCTACACTTCAGTTGAATTATCATTATTACAATGATCATTATTGCACCGACTCGTGCCCCCGAAGGTGTCAGAATTTTATCAAATAAGAAAAAATAACTTTTGTTGCAGGAATTGTGTTATGAAACTCGGCATCATTAGGTTTCACAACAGGGCGGAAAGCCATCTTTTCATCCAATCGGACTGCGCGCTGTTGCGTCACGTGGTCGTTATTTATGTAATGTGTTACACAGTAACCTAGCTGTAGATACGCCGCTACACGGGTTAAAATTGGGAATGAAAAAGGAAAAACATTAATGTGCAGATATCCTGGTTAGGTTCAAAACCGTTTGTGTTCGAGCACAGACACATGCACGTTTCGGACAGATGTGATAGAAGAAGAGGCACGCTACTGTCGGTGTGTTATTTAAATTGTCTATGCAGTACTACTCCGTTCGCAGTGCTTTGGCGTAAGAAACACATCATTTCTTCCTTTGCGACGTTGTTCTGGAGAACACCATGGATCTGCTGGAGTGTCCGCTCTGTCTCTTCTTGATGTGCGAGCCGGTGACCATGTCATGCGGTCACACGTTCTGCCGGAGGTGTGTAGGGGGCTACCTGCTGCCCAGATGCCCGGCGTGCAAAGAGAGATTAAAACAAAGGGAGGTGAAAAGCATGAAGAACAACGTCTTACTCATCAGCATCGTTGAAAAGTGCTACCCCGATGAGGCTAGGATGAAGTGCCATATACAGGAGAAACTAAAAGCCAACGAGTTCTCTGAAGCTTTACGCATCGCCAATGAGGGGCTAGACTTAGGTAAGAGACACACGCAAGACATCGTTACAGCTGCAGACACTACAGAAGTTTGTCTGATATATACAGTGCTGAAAAGATGCCCACAGGACTGCGTGTAAATGACCAACACAATTACATAAGATCACACAGTTAAGCAAGCTGACAGAGTAATTTGGAGTCCCACTTTTACGCACTACGCGCAGACATATGCCATGTAATGGTGACTGATAGCGCACCCCTTTCTGCTCAGAAACAATGTGCGCAGAAGAGTCTTGTTTTCTTTGTGTGCGTATCGAACCGATAAGGCAATACAACAAACACATACACTAATGTTCATCAAGATATACTGGAAAATGTTAAACTGCATCAGGCTGGTTTAACATTTTCTATTCTCTCAGTGTCAGTCACACACACCGCTATGACAGCGGGTGCATGGGAAAAATATTGGACTGAGCAGTAGATCCGGCTTTCTATTCATTTCTGGAGTTAAAACTCATGTGCAAAGAAGAATGTAAGGGATGTGTAATATTTTCATTGCCTTGGATTCCTGGTGGTTGACAACTTTGCAACTAGATCTTCTCTGTACAGTTACATATCCTCTGCAGTTGCACCTTTATTGGTGCAGTTGACATTTACTTTATGCAGCAGAGAGGAAGTAAAAGGGACTTGTGCCCCAGATGAGCTTAGACCATCAGTAGGTGTCCTCGGGGGATGGCAGTGAATCAGCATACTGTTGAATTATCTATGTTTGCTGTTTCTGCCTGTCCTATTACTGCTGCTCCTCTTGGTCTACATTGGTTATTGTGTAATGAACCCCTGTCAGATTTGTGTACAACAGTTTTGCACCTGTCATTAGAATTAGAAGGTCATTTTCTGTTTATAATTACGATTGTGCAATTTGGCATTGTCAAGTTCAGAGGTTGTGTCTGTATTTAAGGCCTATGTGTGTACAGTAAATAAACATGACACAACAGGAGCAGCAGCTTTAGGTTAGGTAGCAGTCACTTTTTGAGCCTTGAATGCACTCACACACACATTGATGTAGCAAGTGTATTATATTAGTCTAGTGTAAATATTAATGCTGTTGTTTTGGAAAGCATATAAAAGTGCACTGTTATGAGTTTATAATGTCAGTAACTATAAGAAGAGGCATCGTTTGGGATGTTTTGCTGATGTGTCAAGTTTTTGGATGGATTTCCCTCATGTTCACAGGAAATCAAAATCACTCGTTATGTAGGTTGCTTCAAGGCTGTCTTACATTGTTTGTATGAAGAAAGGTGTGTAAATAGTATTTTGTCTTTACCCTTTCTTCTTTTCTTACTCTCTCCTCTGTTTTTGCTCACTTAGCCCCAGATGATCAGAGTCTGAAGTTGTACAGAGCTGAAGCTAACTGGGGCCTGATGCATTTGTCTGATGCTTTGATAGACCTCGACTACCTCTGCTGCCTTCGTCCCAATTGGACTGAGGTGAGATACGGGACAGTGTCGATCAAGCACAATATGTCTTACTTTTATGGCTGTCTGTTTTTTTGTTTTGTTTAGTTTTTTTGGACAGCACAAACAAATCTGTTGTTTACACATGAACAGTGCCAGATTTATTCAGTTCACCTATTTGCTAGTCTTTACTTTAACTCAACATGAACTCTTCTTGGTAGATTAGGTTACATGCAGTTAAATATAATAGCACGCATGTGACCACAAAGAAAGGTGCAGCTTTTTAAAATTGATTTTATATTTTTCTTGAGTATACAAAGCCTAACCCCTTTCTCTGCTTTTATTGCTATTGTTATGTCACTCACAATGTTACGCAAACTGCTGCTTATGTCATAATGTCATTTAATCACTTTGTACTAGTGGGCGGTGCGCTGCTAAAGCAGAAACATCTGTTGTATATAATCATTTATGTTGTTTTGTTTTATTTCCAGATATGTGTTTTATCACTTTTTGATGAGGTTATGTCTTAGAATGTTTATGTTCTCTGCAGTGAGAGATTTTAGGCATGTCACTCACGTTCACAGGCAGTGCTGTGCTCACTGCGCTATTCTGCTCATGCAGGGCTTCTTTCGTAAAGGGAATGTACTACTGGAAATGGGTCAGCAGACCGAATCCCTCGTCCAGTTCCATCGTTGCCTAAAACTCCAAGCTGACTTTGCTCCGGCAAAGAACCAGATCAAGAAGGTTTGTTGACACCACTGAGCACTCGTCAGAGGGTAATATACATTTAGACACACACTACAATCAGATCACATGTGATTTAATATATGAAACTGAAGATGAAATATTTGTATAATTATTATACATTTATATACATTGCTTCGTATTTAAATTCTGGTTCCCCAAGAATATCACAGATGAGTAGAAGTGCCATATGAATTCTGGTTTTGTTTCAGTTTTTGTAGGGTTTTGGTTTTGTGAATTTATTCCTCCACCTTGTGTTTTATTATGGTTATTTTTATTAACACTATTATCATTTGTAGTAGTATTGGTAGTGGTGGAAGTAGTAGAAGAACTGAAACATTTTTTTAAAACTACCACAGTTCTGTCATTAAAACAATATATCATACATAAAAAGAATTGCACCTTCTTTCCAAACACACTTATCTATATACTGTAAATGGCAGATCCTGGAGGCAGAGGGCGTGGCAGTGCCGGAGGAGGTCCCCTGTATTTTGCAAGTGTTGTGTGAATACCTGAAAGAGCCCTGCCCCATTACCAGCCTCAGTGGCTCTCCGGGTCCAACTCACCCCGAGGCTCTCAAACATCCCTATGGAGATGAAGGAGAAGGTAAAGGGAGGAGAGAGACACACCAGGTACAGTAAGCACCAGGCTACTAGAATGCATTTTAATGTCTGCTGTGGAGATCGCAAATATAATGGTAACTGATAAACCTGTGTATCTGTAGGGCTCCAAAGCCAAGCATGACATGGGTACTGAGTGCTGCCTCAGCCTCTGCCAAGCTGTGTCCTTCCTTCCTGCTTCTGAAGAAGACGAGGAGATGACGATGAGGAAGGAAGATGGGCATGGCAGGGGTATACTGACACACCAGGACACACGTATATTATAATTTCATTGTCACTGTCATCATCACGTCTTCATCCTGAGTCATCTTTGTCACTGTCACTGCAAACAGCTTGACTTATCACATCATTCAGATGGTTTATGAAAATGCATAATAATAACTACTACTTCTTTTTCA